AAAAAAAAAAAGTTATTTAACGTTTGGCTAAGTTGAAAACATATTTTAAAGCTTCAATTTCATCAGTTGTACCTTTTAGTTTTAGTTAGAACATACATTCCTATCATGCTTTAAATAGAACTTTAAATACTTTAAACTAGGAACAAGTTATTTCAGAAGGTAAACTTACCACCAGAGGTATTGGGTGGCTGAAAATTATGTACAGTGTGCTGTGAATAGTAATTATCATAAAACTCAGCTGGGTTTTGAAGAGACTCATAAGTGGTATTGAGCTGCATTTCACCAGGACTTTGCTGGTATGATGAACCTGGAGAACCGTGATTTTCTCTGGGTACTTTCATCATGTGTCCCGGAAAGCCTGGAGACTGGTAAGCCCCATCCATATTAGGCAGTGCCAAAGGTGTATCTGGTTGAACAAGTACTCCAGCTTGATTGTGAGGGCCTACAATTTCAGGTGGACCAGGGGGCAAAGGTGGGCTTTGCGCCACTGGTAGACAAGGAGGTCCTGAACATGGGTGATGTCCAGGGGAGCCTGGGTGCATCACAGGACTACTGCGTCCCTGAGATGTATTAGGTCCAGGACCTGGGCTTGACCCAGAACTATAGACATGTTGAGGGTGTGGGCTGCTTCCCTGAAACTGTGGTCCTGGAGGTGAGGCACTGTTATAAAATGCTGGTGGCCTATAAGCAGAAATAATATTTATTAGTTCAAAGAAAAGAGACAAACAAGTATGTTAACACTTCTAAATAGATACTAGTTAGGTATGTTTTTCTATATTAGAATAGAATAACTATATGCTTAAGAAGCAGTTTATTCCATATCATCTTTAGGTAGAAACACCACATATACCTTTTGTTTTCATTTTAGCCCCCTTGCTGGTTACTATCAAACTGCTCTAAAACTCACTTATAGATATTTTGAAAAATACAGAAAATTACTAAAATCACCTCTAATTCCACCACCCATATATACATTTTTTGATTGGTTCTTTCCTAGTCCTTTTTCTAGGTATACATAGACTTTTTTTACAATAAAATTAGAACCATACTTTGTAAACATAGAGAGTTTCTTTCATATTACAATTGGTAATTGGTTATTGCTAGCATATAAAAAGACTTTTAGTTTTTGAATGTTGCTCTTCTTTCTGGACATCTCACTAATTTAATTATTATTTCTAACAGTTTTTTTTAACTGATTCCTTTGGGTATATTGAGAGAAAGAGATTGTCCAAATAATGAGTTTGCTGCTCTACTTTTAATCTTTACATGTTTTACATCTTTCTTTTATTTTGCTAAGAAGGATCTGATATATAATATTTGCAAAATACTAACAGTGAAATAACTTATCTTCTTGACTTTAACAGAAATACTTTTTTTTTTTTTTTTGAGACAATCTCAAGCTGTCACCCTGGGTAGAGTGCTGTGGCGTCATAGCTCATAGCAACCTCCAACTCTTGGGCTCGAGCGATCCTCTTGCCTCAGTTTTTCTATTTTTAGTAGAGACAGGGTCTCGCTTTTGGCTCAGGCTGGTCTTGAATTTGTGAGCTCAAGCAATCAACCCACCTTGGCCTCCCAGAGTGCTAGGATTACAGGCGTGAGCCACTGCACCCAGCCTAACAGAAATACTTTTAATCCGTATTAATTGTGATATTTGCTACAGATTTCTTGTTCCTCATTTACTGAGACTTCCTTGCTTCACTTAGCAGTCAAAGTTAAAAGATCCATACACAATGGGAGTTGGGACCAACATGCACAGATCTTGGGAATGAAGAGCGAGGCTGCAATGGTGGTGTTAGAACATGGAAAATCTAGATCCAGTTTACTCAGAAGTTTTCCTCTAATGAAATGCTTTTCAAAAAGGACCAAATATTCTGGAGACCTATTACCTACAGTTTGAAGTTATTATCAATGACAGTATGGCCTCATCATCAGGTGGAAGCAATGCCAAATCCATCTATCTGACAAGGTGCTTCAGGATTACTGTGTTGAAAGTTTCTGAAGCTGTGTAAGGATTGCTAAACAAAAGCCCTGATGGTAGGCAGCAGACTAGGCAGCAGACGTGGGACCAAAGAGGTAGTGGGAAGTAGCCATCTGAGTATCTGCCAGATTATCTACTTTCTCTACCTAATTTTAATTACTTGATTAACTTAGAATACGAGTGAATTTCTTAATACAAATTTTTAGGGGAAAATATTGATGTCATTTGGAAAGTTTTCACTTACTTCTTTCCAATTTTATGTGCTAAATCCACAGTAGGTTTTACAACTATTTCAAAAAGAGATGGAATTTTCTTAAAATCATCAGAGAGATCTGTCTGAAAATCATCTTCAGGATCAGAAAAGGGAAAATGCTCTGAAGGGGTTGGCAGAAGCCCAACTCCTGGAGGTGGTTTGGGAAGAGGAGTTATGCCATGCTTTCTAAGTTCTTCTAATTCTCGTTCATCTTCATTTATAAGTTCTTCATCAGCATTTAACACCTAAAAATATTGGCAAAGATTAGTATTTCAAAACAAGTTCTCGTCCTCACATTAAAACTGTGAAAACTTTAGTAAACTAGTTTTGTCAGTAGGAAAATAATATTAAAGTTAAAATGGATCAGAGATACCTAACTCCTCATTTTTTTTTTTTTTTTTCTTTTTGAGACAGAGCCTGAAGTTGTCCCCCTGGGTAGAGTGCGCTAGCATCACAGCTCACAGCAACCTCCAACTCCTGATCTCAAGGGAATCTCCTGCCTCCGCCTCCCAAGTAGCTGGGACTACAGGTGCCCACCACAATGCCTGGCTATTTTTTGGTTGCAGCCATCATTGCTGTTTGGCAGGCCTGGGCAATTTGAAACCGCCAGCTTAGGTGTATGTGGCTGGCGCCTTAGCTGCTTGAGCCACAGGTGCCGAGCCCTAACTCCTCATTTTTAATAAAAAGAATGAGGTTTAAAGATATAAGGAATATTACTCAAATTAGTTTTATAATGGCAGAAAAGTATAAGAACGAAAGAGTCCTAATTCCTAGTCTACTATTTGTTTTTCTAATATATTACATTAATAAAAGATAAAATAAAAAAATACTCCATTTCTCAGCAGTTCCATAACATCTGATTTATAAAATATAACTCAACTCAAAGAATCTTCAGAGAGACCTAGCAAATAATCAAAGTAAAGAAATATTACTCACTTTGTCCAAAAGTTTCTTTGTTTCTTTAGTCAGATCATCATGGGAAAATTTACAGTTGTCTCCTTGGTAACATTTTGCTCCACTATGGTAGAACTTACATGGAAATTCATGTAAATAAAAATATTAAGGAACAGATCAAGTAAAATCAAGATCTAATTTTTTTAAACTGAAAAACACAACTTATTCGAGATGATTAAGCCTAGAGATCTCCTATATACATTGTGGCTATAGTCACCAAGACTGAATTTATACTTAAAATTTTAAGAGGGTAGAACTAAGGTTGTGTTCTTACCATTTAACAAAAAACACCTGCTAAATGAATATGATTATAATATTGAACTGAATTTCCTATATTCATATAATTTATTTTTTATTTTATTAAGATTAAATATTTTAATTATATAGATATAGTCAAGCAGTTTTAAAAAAATCTTTCTTATTAAAACTAGAAAGCCACTTTTTAATAAAACATTTATAATGGCTACAGTAAACCCTATAGTTATTTTAATTATGTAAGCCCTTATTACTTTCCAAAATAAAATAAAACATTACACAGACAAATAAATTTTGTAGCATGAACTTACATCTATGAAGAAAGTAAAGGGGCTTGATATGTCATTTTATAGGCAAATATCCAACAATGAAAACTAAAGACTAATCTTAAGATTTTAGAGGGGCAGCACCTGTGGCTCAAAGTAGTAAGGCGCTGGCCCCATACGCTGGAGGTGGTGGGTTCAAACCCAGCCCCGGCCAAAAAAAAAAAAAAAAGATTTTAGAGACTAACTTCTACAAGAAAACATTAAATCTAGAAGTATAGTAAAAATGCTGCATTTTTAGATGGCGTACATTCAGGGAATAGCCAGGTGGTTTTAGGAAATTTATTACTATAATGATATCGATAAGATCAAAAAAGAAAAATATCACCTTGGAGAATGCAAAAGGCAACTGATAATATTCAAAATCCTTTTTTTTTTTTTT